TTTCTCAGAATGGCATAATGGAAATGATTCTTTCTGGTGCATGAAATTCAAGAATCATGAAGTGCACCAGGAAGAACGTGTTTACAATTTATAGTTCAAAGTACAATAGCTACCTGTTTGTTCGTCGCTAAAGGTTTGATTTTAGCTGAAAGAAAGAAAACTCATTAAAACTGACTTTCGTTGATCGTTTTCGTAGACAAATCGACATTGAGAGGGGAGAAAAGTGCCAAAAATAGCGCCAAGTGGTTGAGTGTTGTCAAGGGGACGAATGAGTGCCTCCTGAATTTCGTGTTAAAAAGTGAAAACTAAATCTGATGATTTTACGACTAAAGGACAGCTATCTAACAATAACACATCAAAGTTAACTTTAAGCTAGTAAACTTTGCATCAGAGCTGTTTAAAATCGTAATTTCCCGGCCCAGGACAAGCCAGATTATTATAAAACAAATCCCATCTAGGCAAGGCCACATTTCTTTTGTTTTGATATTTTAAGCTTTGTTAGGCTTGGTGTTGTGCTTATTGATTACTAGAGTGTTTTCCTCGGGAGTAAGTAATTACTCGAGTAAATTTGCATGAGTAATTTTTTACTCGAGTAATAGCTCGAGTAATTGTCGAGTAATGCGTTTTCTAAAAAGTGCGCCTGCGCGAAAAAAATACAAAAGCAATTTTTTGCGCAGGTTTTAGGGTAGGCTAGTTTCCGCAAATTTCTTTGAGCAACAGGGTCATTTGCACAACTGGGTCGTTTGCGCAACTCGCCAAAACTTTCTTTTAAGTGAACCAATCTTTATGATGTTGGTTTCATTTTGTTGCACTTATTGAGATCTACCAAATGACACCAAAATCATAAAGATTGGTCCACTTGGAAGAAAGTTATGGCGAGTTGCGCAAACGACCAAGTTGCGCAAAAAAATTGCGGAAACCAGCCTACCCCCAGGTTTTTCAAAAAAAAATCATTTTTTACATTCGAAGGGAATTTCCCACCAAACCAGTTAAACGGCTGAGTATCTTTAAAAAGTGTCGTGTATAATGCGAGGCTCGTGATTTTTGCGTCATTTTTTTGCAATAATTTTTTCCCAAGTGTGCATTTTAAAAAACGCATTACTCGTGAGGAAAACACTCTAAAGATTACCATTTAAAATCTAAGCCTACCCTCTTCTTCGTACAGTTTGCTAAATGCTCTACTCTACATTTGATAAGTCTAGTTCAAACCGATAGCAAGCTGCCGGCCGCTCCATCGCAATGCGCATCGAATTTATTTTTGTAGCACCCAAGCAAACATTGCCCGATTCTAAATTTGCATTCTAATGAAAAAAATGAATGTAAAAGGTTTTGCGTTCAATAGTATAATTCAATCGCTAGAGCTCTCCACCTGCACGTCTCCGAAACGACAATGTTAATCATTTGTGGATCGATGAAATTCTTCATGAAACCCTCGAATCCCTCGCCCAGACCGCTGAGCGTTTCCTAAGTAGTCAAAAGTTTTTAAAAAAACTTTGCAATTTAGTACTATCTGCGGCATCTTACAAGTTTCCCCCATTCCTCACCTTTGCTGTCAATCCTGCAAGCAACGCTTGCGTGTTGCACTCTTGGTCGCACTCTACATTTTGATTTTGATTTTGATTTGTTTTAAATCTTTTCTTAAAACAAACCTTGATAGACTTGATCATTCACTTTGTCCATGCAATTTGAATTTGCATCGAAAGCTGTAAGAGTTTTAGTTGTCTTTCAAGAGGATAGATTTTTGGGATCATGAAGTTTGCGCCACGAATCTTGCGCCGCGCTGTCAAAAGTGAAAGTTGCGCCACGGGAAGTTTGCGCCATTAAACAAAGCGAAACTTGTGCTACTAGTCAAAAGTTAAATTTGCGTCATTTTCTTTCAACATTTACGTTTTTACGTTAAAATCCTTCAGATTTCTACCAATATTTTCGTGATAACTATATTGGAAAGTGGATCGCCTTTCATCTGCTGGATATCCAATCGCGGATTGGGGCTCTCGTGAACGCATTTTTTCTGGTCTTTCGTTAGACAACTCCACGCAAAAGTCCTATAATGCTCGGGGTTAAAAGTTAGTTTTTAAATAACATAATAATTTGATTCAGGGAATTACAAAGAAATCGGCTGTGCAATTTGTTGCTCAAAAGCTCTTTCAACATCAGAAGGATTTTTAAAGCTTTATATGATGAAGCCTCAACTAAGCAACTTAAAATCTGTCAACTTTTTCCCCAACCTAAGCACACGTTGTTAATTTTCACTCTCGTCGATTGCTCGTTATGATAAACGGTAATTTTCAACGTTTAAGTTGCATTGTTCGCCTGAATAGCTTTTCTTTGTATGTTGGCCCTACAATTTGAGCTTTTCTGGTGCTTCTTGTGTCTCCGCTGTTATTTTGTTATTAAGGTATTTTGATCTTTGCATTGTTATTACCGTATTTTCTCTAATAGTAGTACACCCGACCGAGCCGAGTTGATGACTATTTTACAGTTTCCAAGCTTTCCCAGAAGCTCAACACTCAAATCCCCCACTAGACCTCATCGTCAGCTACATTTTCCGACCCCACATCGATAGGTTCTGATAAGCGGTTCTCGAGATTTCGAGCAATTTAGGCGACGTTCAGGGTGCACTACTATTAGAGAGAAGACAGTATATTTTTATGATAAACGTTTTATGGTTGATGTTGGTTATTGAGCGAGATAAAATACGCAAAAAGTAAAAAAAAGTAATGGTGGCGCACGTTACACTTTTAAGCTTATGGTGCAAGTTTCGCCGGCACAAAACTCGTCACGCAAGCTTTGTTTTAAATTTTTCACAAATTCGCAGCGCAAGAATCGCGATTAACACAGGCGGCGCAAGATTCTTGGCGTAAGCTTCATGATCCCAGATTTTTGAAGCTTTTCCCTGAAACCATGTTTTTAAATATTTTTAAAAAATCCTTTTGAGGAAAGCCGAGGTTTTTCGAAATGGAGACGTTAAATTTTAATGCTTTTTTTGAACTCACCGCGTCGCTGTTCAATGCACATGTAACGAACTCCAGATGTGGTTGTGTAATAGAAATCATTTCGCGGGCAATGAGTCATCTCTTTCATGCACGATTCGGCTATTTCAAACTGGCTAAAAGACACAAAAATATTAAAAAGATCTTAAACACAATGGAGAAAAGAGCTGGAAGTTCAGCGGTGATTTTTCGTTCCCTGATGTTATAAATTGAAAAAGTTCTATATGAAATGATAGCTTTCAGCAAAAGTCTCACCCGCAAGCATCCTTCAAACGATCCGTGTTCGACCCGGCGAGCACAACCGCATTGATGACCGGCATAACAAATTCAGAACACGCAGATAAGCAATCGGACGGCGGTGGAGGTGGGAGAGTTGGGCTGAAATACTTTATTAGCCCAAATATTATTAACAAATCTAGGGTAGAGATTTCTATGATCGCAGCTAATTGATTACAATAAAACCTACAATAAAACAGGCTTTTCCGGGTTCAAGGGTTTCTGTTGGAGCTCGATCAGCTTTGGAGCTTGTTGGAGCTCGATCTTCGGTGGATTCCAGATTGAGAACTCGAGGAGTTGATCGATCGGTGTTTTTTGAGCCCCAGGCGACAAACCGACTGCTGAAAGTTGGGGGAAATGAGTAAAAGTATTTGCTTTTGGATTTCTAAATATAAAAGAAGTTTTTACCTGCTTTTCCATTTATCGTCGGGATGAAGCAAGAAACGACAAGAAATATGTGAAAGCGATTGCTCATTTAAGGATCTGAAATGAGTAGCTTTTTTTTCTCGATTTACAATAGTTTCAAAAACAAAGATAGATTCGAAATGAGCAATAGCTTAAAAGCCACATTGACAGGCGTCAATACGCGTATGATGAGTGGTGGTAGGGGGAGACACCCGAGCGCTGAGGTCCAAGGACCACACCACGTTCCATCCTTCCACCACTCAACTTATGGACTCATGAGTCTTGAGTCTCCCTAAAAAAAAAGAGATCCACCCAATAAACCCTCGTCAACAGCCACCCCAGTCGGTTACGAGTCTCAGCGGGCGGAAAAAAAAACAAAAACCACAAAGTATCGCCTTTCCACAGCAGCTTTTCCCCCTCGAGACAAAGCTCGATCTCATTTTAAAGGATTGCAACAACACATACTCACACGCTCTACACGCAAAAACAGCTGTGCGTTTGTTGAAATTTTAACCAGCAAACAAAAAAGGGTATTTGAGAATCTAGTGGGTGAAAACGAAAACTTGCATACTTTTCTATTGATCCTTCGTCTACCAGATTACTGTAATGGAATCGTACACAAATTTCACCCAAAAATCAGCAAAACTTTTAAAAAAGCCGAATTTAAAAAGCCAACAAGAAATCCCTTCGTCGTGAGGCTCAATACTTTTGATCTCCAATATGTTATGTCTCGTGCGACGGACAAGAAGAATTGATTCATCGTTTGGATAAATGTTCAAGAGTTTCTAAATTTATCTAACCAACAAGCTTCAATGATGTTACTAGTTGTGCTTTGACGGGTCTTTCCACACCACGTAAAGCCCATAAAGAAAAAAATTGTGCACAAATGAGCCCCTGGGGAGTCATACGTCCTTTCGCGTGGCCCATAGTGGAGGTACTATTCGCGTGTGGAACCCTTTTAGTTGCTACAACTTTAAATAAAATCGAAGAAAGACGCATGTAATTGTCTGTTCAACGTCAAATTGCTTGTGTAATTCTTGTGCCTGAAAAGCTGATTTAGTTTAGTATTTTATTCACAAATAATCTAAATAGTACAAACATCGCTACGAGACTTTATCACTTTAGAACCCAAGAGAATATAACAAAATCAGACAAAATAAAAAATAAAAAAAGTTATCGCAAGGTTTTTCTTGCCAAATATTTACAAAAGAAGTTTAATAATCGAGCCTAGAAATTTTTGGAGTCGCCTACAAAAAGGACGTAAAAATCATTTGGCAAGTTAACTATCCTGATATTGAAAACTGAGACTAAACAATCGATGAATTAGGCAAACATGCGTCGATCCTTGTTTTTGGTGAACTTCTCGAAGAGAGCGTCGATCTCGGCGCTCACATCCTAAATGGGACAATTTATGAGCTCAAATTTTTACGTTTAGAACCTATAAGCCCTTTATTTTAAGAATTTATTTGACTTATAAAAGCAAATAAAATATCCCAATGTACTTTCTGGATTGGGCAACTAGCAAAAATACGTAGGTTCAGTAATAATTAGCAAAAAATACCTTGATGGGTCTGGAAGCATCAAAAGCCGTGTGGACTCCTCGTTTCTGATAGTATCCAACCAGGGGTGACGTCATTTCATGATATTGCAACAATCGTTTCCTCAGCGTTTCTTCGTTGTCGTCCGAGCGCTTGATCAACGGTTCACCAGTGAGATCATCCTTACCGGCCACCTAAAGCAGAAGTGTAATCAAGGTTTACAGAAGCTTTCTTATAAAATCTAGTATCAAGTTTATATAGCCAACAACAAAGTTTTCTGTAACTTTTAAAAAATAAACCTTTGGTGGATTGAACTCGACGTGATACGAACGACCACTCTCACGATGGAAAAGACGGCCAGTGATACGTCGCACAAGGAGATTGTCGTCGATTTTAAATTCAACAACGGTATCCAGTGGTGTCTTTCGTTTCTCGAGGAGGGTGTCCAACTTTTGAGCCTAAAATGTACGTTAATATAATTTAATGAAATCTGCCACAAAACACTTTATTTTGTTGATAGAAAAACATTGAATGTGCGGTACTACCAATAGATCTTTCAACTCCAATTAATGAAAGGTCTCCTTAAATACCGGTTAATCTTGGTTGTTCTAAAACCGCATAAGAAATAAACTCATAATGCGGGGAACGACAACCATTAATCTTGTTAAAGATAAATATATAGTAAGCGTACCTGGACAGTCGTTCGTGGAAATCCATCAAGAATGAATCCCTTCGCGCACTCTGGTTTGTTCAAATGGTGATCGATGAGCTCACAAACGGTTTCGTCACTCACGAGCTTCCCTTCGTCCATCGTCTGTTTTAAAGTTCTTCCCCAGCTCGCTTCCAGAAGCTACCTAAATATACACAGAATATTCGTTTACCAAAAAAGTACCTCACCTCAGCCCTCAACATATCACCGGTTGCCAGATGGCACGACTCGTATTTCCTCGATAGATCTCCAGCTTGCGTGCCCTTTCCAGCTCCAGGGGGCCCAAGTAGGATGGCACGAATTCCTCGAGTCAACTAAAAAGAAAAAATAATCTTGTGAATAATGTAAAATCTAAATCCGAAGCTGTTTGGCTCACAATCGACGCTAACAAAGCTGATAGAGAATAAACAAGATATCTAACATTTCACCCACGCTTAGAAGTTACTAAAAAAGTGTTTCAATTTACGCAATTTCAGAATATAAACCTTAATACTTTACAAACAATTCTTATCATTTCACAAGGGGAAAACAAACACACCCCATCTATTGAGCCTCCAGTTTTCTTTTCCTCGTGTGGTTGCTCGGTGTGGGCGACCTTAGGTGCCATACCTGTAAATAGAAAATTGAATACGTGATACAGACGCAAAATCGTTAAAGAAAGTTTTAGAAAAAAAAAAACATTAAGCGAAAATTATTATCAACGAGAGAAATCTCAGAAGAGAGTGTGGGGTTAAAATTCGAGATGAGATAAGGGGTGTTGGGGAAAAGCTAAAAAAAATACGTCAGTCTAAATGGCACAAGGTCCCTATATCGATTTTCTCTGAACAAATAGTGGCTAAAATTTGAAGAGAATCGTCTAAAGCTACAAACTAGGGTTGAAAATTGAATTTTAGCGGGATTAACAGGAAAAAAATTGGCATCTTTAAAATTTTTAGTGATTCCCAACTAGTAACATGTGCGTATAGGACGTAAAAATAAAATATTGAATTGAAAATTAAAGATTGAGCAGTAAATTCTTAATTTTGCTAAAGAACTTGTGAAAAAATGGCGATAGAAAAGAAAAATCGTAGTTCTATACCGGTCTTCTCGACAGACTTGTTAATTTAGAAAGTCCACGTTTTAGTGTGTACTGGTTGCGTTTTTGTGGGGGAAAAGGGGGAGAGAAATTGTCGGGGGTGGGACAACATGCGACCTTTTTTTGCGCACCTGGACATTTGCGCACCTTTTTTTGCTGGAAAAGGCCTTAGGAAAGGTCGTAGAGCTTCAAAAATGTTTTCATAGAAGGGAATCGTATGCGTAGATTCAGAATTTTGACAAATCAAACCTCGCTGACACGTCAAATTTGGACTAAAAGGCAAAAACTAACTAATTGTCTCAAAATTGCCCTTGGCTCAAATAAGTTGTTTGATTCGAAAAAGGAAAATAATAGTCAATTATTGATTGGAAATTATTTTTTGTGAGAATTGTGTAGAGTGTCGATTGTTTGTTCAATGCAATGCACTGTTAGGCGTCCTTGTAGATTAACCACAAAATTATCCTCGTGAACCCAATTTCACTTTACAATCCCACCACTTTTACTTCTCCCTCTTTTTTTTTTTGTTAAATCGAGAAATTTCCGCTGAACCCTCAGCACAGGAAAAACCGCCGAAACCATTTTCGGTGTCCCTTCCTAAATTCTTTCCCATTTCCTTTTCCCCAGCTCACATCCATGTCTGCGATCCTGCACGGTCGGACTGAAACTGGGTAAAAGCCGGAGTTTTCATTCTCATTCCTTTCTTTCATTCAATGACCGTCCCCTTTTGAAGCAAAACAGCACTTTTCTCGATTTGATCCTGAAAAAATTTGGAGAATAAAAGTGAAAATTAGTGGCTTCATAATGGCTAACGACGGAGATTAGCATTTTTAGTGATTGTAAAGGAAAAGTTTATTGGTGTCACCATTAATCGGGATTAGTTTAGACTGTACTTCTTGGTAAATGTCCAAAATCTGGCGTTATCTTTGATTCTTCAATACTGCGTCCAAATTGATTTGACAACTTTATGCAATACCCACTTTAGTTCATGAGGCTGGAGATTCTTTGAATGATCAGCCAACGAGACTAGCAATCAATAGTCTTTACATCTTTCAATAAACAAAAGATATTCAGTCTTAGAATCGGTGAAGACTTCACTCTTCCACTCTAGCAAACATAAATAAGCAAACATAAAACTCTAGCAAACATTTAACCCGTTCAAAAATTGTTCAATCTTTCGAAATCCCTTCAATCCCGATCTTACACCATGATGGTCTTCAGGAAACGCCTCAGTTTTCATCCCGCTTTCTTCCCACGAAAAAAACTTATAAAAGGAGACCAAAAGGGAAATCTTTCCTTTATCCAATACTAAATATTTTTCTTTTTCGGGAAAACCGGAAAATCGACACGAGAAAAGTGTGAGCCTCGAGAAGAGAAAAAGATTGAAAGGGGAGATTGTGGCCGAGTTTTTCTCTGAAATTAGGCGCTTCTTCAAAGGGGTGATCGAGTCGATTTCAAGAGTTAGGAAAGATTTGATTGTTTAAAATCTTTATATTGCTCAAGCATTATTGTTTGCTATTATTGCTCAAGTAATTTTTGTACTTTATGCTCAAAGGGATAAGCACATCCCTTCTAGTGTAATGCCTCTTCTTAAAAGCTGATAGTGAGTTGCCAAGAGATGTTTTAAGTGTGCCAGAAAGGGTGTGCCGAAGAGCCGGCCAGCGTCAAAGAAAACCCCAGAAATTTCTCAAAACCTCAAAAGCTAACATTTTTCGCAAACCCTCAAATAGGAAAAAACGAACGAATGAAATGAAAATGAGTGAATGAATGAATCAAGCGTCGGTACATTCATATCCAATTTGCGAGGATCGGATTGGGTAAAATTTGTGCCGTCATTATCAATGAAAAGAAAGAAAAAGACGGTCACACTGCCCAATGAATGAAGGAAAAGAAGGGGATGGAGATGGCAATACTCTGTCTCATTCAACCTTCAATGACTAACAGATTTTTCTACGAAAGCAAAAAGTGTTTTTTTGGCGCTTTAAATGCTCTGAAAATGTTTTGATAGTCTATTTTATTTTAAAGAAGATCTTTGAGAAGGGGATGAGAAATTTTCTTTTCTTCAAAAACAGAATTTTCTTCAAAAGGATCATGACATATGTCAAAGGAAGGAATTGGAAAAACTTTAAAAATTAATTCAGATTTTTTGAATTTGAAACTGATGTTATTGAAAGAATTGCTAACATCAGCTCATAAACAAATTTAAAACTTTCTCAACTGAATAATTTGAATTATTGATCAATCTTTCAATACCAGTAGCTAGGACTTGACTGCTTAATAATAAAGAGTGCGGCGAAAGTCTGGCCTTTTAGAATTCTCAAAGTTCTGATTGTTATTATTTCTGGCAGCTTAGGCTCAAAGATAGACAATACTACAGACCTTAATGAGTTACGTTTTAAATAGCCCTTATATTAAATTCTTGTGAGCCCTGTAGCATTAGTATTATCAGGATAACTACAGAGCTCACAAAAATTGTGATAACTCAACATCTAAAGGAGCTATTTAAAAACGTAATAAGATTTTAAACTTTGTGAAATATTGGCTATCTTTTGGCATAAAAACTTAGGAAATAATAACAATCAGAGAGCATTTAATTAAAGTGAATTTTAAAAGGACCAAATTTTCGCACGCTGTACAAAACGCAATAAAATAAAGTAATAAAACGAAGATCTAGAAGATTTTTAAAGGAAACCTAAAAATATTCTAATAAAACTATCCAAAAGAAATCTTTGTATTGTGCAATTTTAATAAATGTCAAATAAATGTTTCTGTGTTTTTCAAAATAAACTTTTGCTTTCAGCGGAAATACGAAAACCCTTTTTTTTTGTTTTATCTGGCTTGTTTTTCTCTTTTAACCTTGTCTATTCATACATCAGCCACTATCAAAGCCATTCTTAAAAAAATGAGTCTGTGGATGAACGTGGATGGTGAGAAGTTCTCCCTTTCGCACAGCACAGCGCTATCCCTCAAAACTTCAAGGAGGGAATTCAGGTCCGGAAACGGCTTTGACTATTGTGGCAAGAAAAATGATTAATTATAATTTTATTCTTTCAAAAGTATTTAACTATATAAGCTCTAGTTTATACATTTAATTATACAGTTGATCGAATCAAGATCAAGACTTGTTTAGACGATCTTTCAACTGACAACTTCTTAAGAAAAGTAAACTGTTTGTGAAAAGGAACTATTGTTTTGTTTTCATTTGAACCGTAAAGAAAACCAAAATAGGGAATATGCTTATTCAAAGTAAAAAAAGTACTTCATTTAATCATTTACTATTACATTTATAATGGAGAACTGAAACTGCCGATTATTGTCATATGTGACAGTTTGAGCACTTCCTTCAAAAGAAACTTATTTTGTGCCAATGGAAAGTTATAGAGAATCAAAATGCAGCTTTATATCCAAATTTTCACAACGATTCAAAACTGGTTTTCAAGAAATGCGGAAATTTTACGAATTTTCACAAAACTTGCATTTTAGCGAAACTACTAAGTGTATCTTTTTGGAAATTCTGGCCATATAAGCCT